TTTTGCCAGGAACTCTGCAGAGTCCATGCTGTGAGCTTCCTACCTCAGTCCATCTGCAGGCAGAGAAGGCCCAGTGTGTCCATCCCCATTGTTGTGATACTAGGATGGTCACTTGGTAAAGGAGGGGTCTAGGAGCTCTGTCCCTTGTAAAGACACCTTGTTTATAAATAATTTGGAAAGTGGTTTGAAATAGTATCAATATCCTGTATTCTAACGGTCTTCCTCTGAGTATTTTATGATCAATTAATCACCCCTGCCTGTGTCAGTTACTATATTTATGTTTGTACATTGATAATTTTCTATCTCAAAATCTTACTTTACACTTGCCTTTGCTGGCATTCTTCGTAAAGAACAATATTCCCTGCCCAAATGTTAACTTGCATCCAAAATTAATTTTAATTTCTTTTTGCTGGCATTCTGTTGTGTAAAACAATATTCTGTGTCCCAATTTTAACTTGCATCCAAAATTAATTTTAGTCCATCAGTTAAAATGTTTAAGTTTTAAATCTGTTTCATTAAACATTTTTTGCCCTCACTCTGGACTATTGGATATTTTACGTATAATGTTTTAAGCTTTTATTATTATGATTGATTGTGGCAGATGAGAATTTAGATTAATAAAACCATTCTTATTTCCCTGTTTATATTCTAAACTCTCCATGTTTTAGTCTACATTTACCATATGTGGTAGATTGTATTTACTGTATTTCTTTGTTGATTTTGTTTCCTTTTTTGTTTGTGTATGTGTGTGTGCCTTTTGTCTGTTATTTAGGAAGAGTTGTATAGCTCCCATTTAACACTGCACTGAAAAGGTTTAGATGTCACTAATCCCATTTTAAGTTGACACATTTCTACTATTTGGTTTATAAATTTTAAATTCTTTCTTTCAACTTCAAATTTTTACCACTATGACAATCAAAGACAATATTTTCCTCTTCTCTAACCCCTGTACCTGCAATTTTTATTTGTTATTTTAACCCAAACATTAAGTGACAGCCTATGTGACAGCTTAGTTTTTGGTTGAGACTTACATTTAAATATGTTGATGCACATGAGCTATTCAAAAGTGTGTCCTAAGCATCACTCGTTGAGTGGAATTCATCCTTAACAGAGTCCTCATGAGGGAATCAGGTCTCGCTGACTTTAACATACTTAATAATAAACTTTTCCCAATGTCTTGACACATGGATTGCATCACTGTATATTAGGCACTTGCCAAAAATGATTTTTTCTTGGGATTTTAGGAAATATTGTCTGACTTTGGGAAACAGGCATGTGTGCTCTCATTCTGGAATTGTATTTTGTTCAA